CGGGGCGGGGCGGGGCGGGGCGGGGCCGGGCGGGGCCTGAGGTCCCAGGCAGATCTAGTGTTTGCGCTGAATTGCGGGCGGTGGACAGGAATCACGTTGTCACTCTGCAATTTTGGAAGTTTTATGTCATATTAGACCATTAACTTCTCACCGACACCTTAATCATTTTGTCTGTTCCCGGGCGCCGAACTTGGCGTTAAGGTCTCGAATGTGTGATAGATGAATGAAATCGCCTTTGCCTTCATCATCATCTAATGCTAATATAATAATAATGATTGTTATTTGCCTCCTAAATATTTTTCACATCTGCCTTCCCTTTTTCCTCCCCATTTCCAATGCCTTAGTCCAAGGCAGTGAAGACAGCGCTCTAGTCTGACAGATCTGGGTACTGAGTGACCTTGGGCAAGTTATGTATCCTCTCAACCTTGTTTACCTTACCTGTAAAGTGGAGATGTTAACACTAGTGCCAACTAGGTTGGGTTGGTGTGGGGTAAACAAGATTAAGTATGTAATGGGCTTAGTAAGTTCCTGGTTTAATTCACGTCTACTATGATTAAATTTTAATCATGATTTTTATTATCATTGGTATCATTATTATTATTCAGACTTTCATCATCTTTCTTCAAGAGATAATGATTAAAGGTTCCTAACTAGTCTTAGTTGCAGTGTTATTCCCTCCAACACACAGGAGTATGAGAGATCTCTCCAACTACAAATCACATCCAGAGACTGGAGTCACTCCTTGCTTAGAATCCATTGTGGCTCCCACATACCCTCCTGATAAAGGCCAAGGTTCTTGAGAGGTCTACAATCCCCACCCAAATCCAGTCTCCTCCTGCTTCTCTCTCCAACTATTTCAGCATTTTCTCCCAATTTATGTTTCACCACTACCTAATTGCTTATAATTTATCCCCCTCAACACAAACTTCCAGATCCCCAGCATGCCATGGATAGCCATCAAGATTTTGAAACTGAAGGTGTAATTACCAGCCTGGCTTTTAAAAAATTTTACCAGTTTTTATTAACATTAGCTCCTTCTCTGAAGTTTCCCCTTTGTCCTGAGTTGCCTCTAAACCCCAGAATTTGTCGGGGTCCAAGTGGGATGGAGGGCTCTGCCTGACTTACACACCAGCAGGAAGAGAAGTCGGTCTGAGGAGTTGACTGCCCTATTGTTTCTCACTGCCACAAAAAATGCAGTAAAAACACTGGTTCTCCACGGATCCTCAATCAACAGCTGAGAATGACTCATTGCCAACTTAAGCTGGGCACTCCCACTCCCTCACTCAGTCATTGCTCACTAGAGCACATGCTCTGTGAGGGGAGGCTGGATCTGGAGGAGCTTCCAGCATCAGCCACTCTCAGCAGAGACTAGACCTTTCTTCAGAGCAATTTTGTTTAGGATCCATGTTGACTTTTCTTGAATTATTTGTTGTCGTTGTTGTTTTTTTGGTTAAGGCCAGCTGGTCTACCTTCAACAGGTCTTCATAACTTTAAATCTTGCAGAGCAGGGTTCTGGGTGCCAATCATTCATTCAACAAATATTTATTCAGTGCTTACTAAGCGCCAGGCACGGTGTCAGGTGCTAGAGATACAGCAACTAACAAGGCCTTTGCCCTCATGAAGCTTTCATTCTACTAAGGGGAGAAAGGACAGGAATACAAGTAAACAAACACTATAATTTCAGAAAGTGTGAATTTTGTAAGGCGTAATGACGGAGACTGATGGGGGAAGTGAAGTCATGATGGGGTGACATTTGAGCCGAGACCTAAATGATATGGAGCCCGCTGTGTGAAGATCTGGAATAAGAATGTTTCAGGCAAAGGAAAAGCCAGCGTAAAGGCTCTGAGACTGGAAATGAGCTTGGTACTTTTGAGGGCCAGAAAGGCCTGTGTGGCTGGAGCACAGCAAACGAGGGGGAGAGTGGCAGGAGATGTGCTGGAGGTAAGGTTGCCAGATTTTGCAAATAAAAACATAGGACATCCAGTAAAATTTGAATTTCACATAAACAATGAATTATATATCATAGTACATTCTTATACTAAAAAAATTTGTTATTATCTGAAATTCAAATTTAACTGAGCATCCTGTGTTTTATCTGACAATCCTCATTGGAAAGGATGCCTAATTCTGACAATATGGGAAGTTAAAATTATGAAAAACACTTTTACTACTAGATAGCAGACATAACAGAAAATGCATAACCTAGCTTAAAGGAAAGTAAAGCAAATCCCAGGGCCCAAAAAATAGAGGGAATTGAAATCAGAGTAGTAAGCTAGCCTTGGAGCTATGGAAATCCTAGGGGCATTTAATGAAACCAGGACCTAGAGGCTTAGGTTTTAATGGGCAAACTGGGACTCGTAGATAAAGCCTTTGGTGTGTATAAAGTAGGGAGTTGGAACAGAGACCTTCTCCCAGAAGTCAGGCCCCTCAAAAGGGCTACAATCTCCATGAAAGGGTGGAACAGAAAAACAATCTGCTGCAAAGGGAGAAAGCAAGAATCTTTCTTGGCCTTGGCTCCAGGTAAGGGGGAAAAGTCTCCTCTGAAAATTTGTGACCTGTCGGAATTTTAAAAAGAACCACTCCCCCAAAAATCTTGCTAAAAATTAAAATGTAGTTAATGAAATTTAAAAATCAATGGACAATATTTCAATAAAATTTACACATAACCACACACAAAAATCTGTGAAAATTAATAAACAGAAACGTCATTTAAAATCAAGTCCAGTGGCCACAGAAGGGGGACTTCTCTTGCCCTGTGACCATTGCAGAGTCCAACAGGAAGAAGAAAGACTTCCTCTTTTTGCCCAGCAACAGCTTAGCCAATGAGAGACTGTAGAACTCAGCCAATGAAAAGCCACTACACTTCCAATTCCCAGTCTCCTCCAATGGACTCTTTGGTTACAATAACCCTCCCAACTTCCTCTTCCCCTCGATGAAAGAGTTTCTCCTCCCCTTGTTGCTGGGTCCTTGCATATGCCTTGCCATGGTTGCAGATTCCAGGTTGTAATTCTTTACTGATCCCAAATAAACCCATTTTGCTGGAGAAATAACTGGCTGTCTATTTGTTTAAGGTCAACAACTCCAGGGAAAGGTTAAATAGTTGAAGACAGAATTTGTGATCTAGAAGATAGATCTGAAAAATTGTCAAGAAAGCTAGTCTCAAAGAGATGGAAAGTATGGAATAGATGTCAAGAGACATGAAGAACAGAATGAAAATAATTTATCATATAATCTAATTGGAATTCCAGATAGAAAGACTAGTGAGAATGGGAGAGAAACAATATTTAAAGATAATGATGAGAATTTTCCAGAATTGGTGCAAAACACAAATCTACAGATTTGGGAAGCATAACAAGTTCTAAGAAGGCTAAACAAAAAAGAAATTCACAGCTCGATATATTGTCGTTAAACTGCAGAACATCAAAAAGAGATCTTAAAAGAATGTAGAAAGAAAATACTAATTATCTGTAAAGGAAACCCAGTTATACTGACAGCTTAGTTCTCAACAGCAACAGTGGAAGCCAGAGTCTCCAGTGAAACGATATTTTCCAAATTCACCTATTTTTTTTCCTTTTAAATAGATTTTTTTTGAACAGTATTAGGTTCACAGCAAAATTGAGCAGAAAGTGCAGAGAGTTCCCATTTATCTCCTGCCTTCACACATGCACAGCTTCCCCTAATATCAATCTCCAGCATCAAACAGGTACATTTATTACAATTGATGAGCCTATATTGACACATCACTATCAGCCCGAGTCCACAGTTTCCATTAGGGTTCACTCTTGGTGTTGTAAATTTTATGAATTTGGACAAATGTATAATGACTTGTATCCGCCATTATAGTATCATACAGAATAGTTTCACCGCCCTAAAAATCCTCTGTACTCTATCTATTCATCCCTCTTTCTGTGTTAACCCCTGATCTTTTTACTGTCTCCATAGTTTTGCCTTTTCCAGGATGTGAAATAGCTGGAATCATACAGTATGTAGCCTTTTCAGATTGGCTTCTTTCTCTTAGTAATATGCATTTAAGTTTCCACCATGTCTTCTCATGGCTTGATAGCTCATTTCTTTGTAGCAATGAATAATACTCCATTGTCTGGATGTGCCACAGTTTATTTATCCATTCACCTAATGAAAGACATCTTGGTTGCTTCCAAGTTTTGGCAATTATGAGTAGAGCTGCTATAAGCATCTTTTGCAAGTTTTTGTGTGGACATAAGTTTTCAACTCATTTGGGTAAATACCAATGAATGCGATTGCTGGATCACATGGTAAGAGTATATTTAGTAAGAAACTGTCAAGGTGTCTTTGAAAGTGACTGTACCATTTTGCATTCTCACCAGCAATTAATCAGAATTCCTGTTGCACCACATCATTACCAGCATTTGGTGGTGTTGTTGTTCTGGATTCTGGCCATTCTAATAGGTGTGTATTGATATCTCCTCATTGTTTTAATTTGCATTTCCCTAATGATATATTATGTGGAGCATCTTTTCATATGCTTATTTTCCATCTGCATATCTTCTTTAGTGAAGTGTCTGTTAAAGTCTTTTGTCCATTTTTTGATTGGGTTATTCATTTTCTTATGGTTGAGTTTTAAGGGTTCTTCATATATTTTAAATAGCAGTCTTTTATCAGATATGTCTTTTGCAAGTATTTTCTTCCAGTCTGTGGTTTGTCTTCTCATTATCTTGACAGTGTCTTTTGCAGAACAGAAGTTTTTCATTTTAATGAAGTCCAGCTTATCAATCATTTCTTTCATGGATCATGCCTTTGGTGGTGTATCTAAAGAGTCATTGCCATACACAAGGTCATGTAGGGTTTTCTCCTATGTTATCTTCCAAGGATTTTATAGTTTTGC